CAAAATTATCAATTTTGCAAGTCATGTATCTCAAAGGCAGAGCAACGAAATAAAATATTTTTTTCTACCAATCGATAGCTTATGGAGTTGCCTAGAAATATTGTCTTGGGAGTTTTTGAATCTCATGCTTTCTTTATTTTCTGCAGACTTTCTACGAATGGGCCAAAAATGACCCAATGGGGGGTGTAAAGGGTTAAAAAAAAGATCAAAATGTTAACAAAATTGCTGAGAACTGCTATGGATATTTCAGCACTCTCTTTGGAGGCATAAAGAACACAACATTCTCCCGCGTAAATATAATCAGTTTTTTAAACGCAAGCAGATCAATTACTTTTGTGATAGCAAAGCGAGCTGATTTCGTCGACGATTCCAGAGTCAACTTGTATTGAGTGAGTATACCGTTGCGAAAGGAAAAAAGTGATTTTTAACGCTCAGCAACAAAACTAAAAATGCTTTGATTATAAAGGTATGATGAAAAACTATCCAACGCCAACGTTGTAGGAGACAGTCAGAAGGATCTGAATATATTGTAGTTTTTTATTCTTTCTCTCTTTTAAGTGAAAAAATGAACAAGAGCAATTGTTCCGAAAGGACACTTTTTATGTTCTATGCATTGCGCTAGTTTTTTCCTTTCAGATCTACATTAATGCATCAAGAAAGTACTTATTCCGGAGTCTCGTCTTCGATAATTTACATTTGTCTTTCATATAATGTATGTCATGTAATCTTTAGCTTGAAACAGCTTTATTTTTAATATGGTTATATGATAATGGTGGTTAGATCAACAATATTAAGGTATTGAATATGTACCCAGTTTTTGCCGTAAGAAACCTGTTGTGCGTGAAAGATATAAGTTATATAGATAGAAAATATATAGGAATAAAACAACCTACTGACTAACAAATAGTATTCCTATAGAAGTAGTTAGACGTTATACTAATAATACTACACCAAATGTAATAGATATTTTTATTTAAATCAACTAAATCAACTAGTTGAATGGTGTACTTTCTCATCCTATTCAACTACTTTTGTTTTTTTCGAATTCTCACGTCGAAAAGTTACTGTGATTTTCGCCAAAAAAATGCAATCATCAAACCATTTTGAAATATATATCATTTGATTCAGGAGTCAGTTTTGGACGCTGATTCCGAATATAGTATTTGAATTGTATAAAAAATGAGTTCTGGTGAAGAAAATGGGCAGAATTTTGACTTTGGGTGTCTCGTTTAACTTTTTGAATATATATGCTCATGATCCCAAATTTCTAACGCAATGGTTTTTATATATTCTTATAGCTCTCTTCACGGACTATTCATCACACCAGGAATGACTTGTCATTAAAGCAACGGTAGAGAAAAGAGCAAAACACTGTGATAGGTAGTGCTGGAAGCTTAGATCCGAAGTATTCTTTTTGATAAAAAATAACGGTTATTTATCCTTTCAAGCATTTCTTCTCACATATTCTTGATCCGAACTCTATCGATTGGTATATTTAAAAAAGGTTTTATTCGCATTTCCTATTGAAAATAAATTATTCATAGTAATCCAGCATCAAAAACGTTGGTAATTTATTACAATTTATTTTTGCAAGAAAATGCATTTCGAAGCTTCAAAAAATAGACAAAACTACATAAAATTGAATTTTCTATTCGATCTACATCAAAATTTAAATTTATTGAGGAGCGACCGATTGCTATAGAATTTTGAAACTCGTCTTCCAAAATCTGTTTTTCTTACTGCGGTGGTTCAGCTGTAAGATAAACCAAATGTTTTTTCCTATTTTCGTCATGTTCATCATTTTCAACAATAAATGTCACATCGAGATATATCATTATTTCTTCTTCATCGGGAAAGTGAGATTGAGCAGATATATTTTTATACATAACACCCTGTAAATAAAGAGAGTATTCTTGAAAACTTAAAAATGGTTTTCGAAAATGTTACTATATGAAACCCTTTTGGGTTTTCGAGACTATCTTTCGAGAGGATCTTCGAACTATCGAAAACGCTTTTCCTGTTCGCATACCCTATCTTTGTTCAGCTTAATTTTGTCCTCTAATACCCTTCAAAACTTCTTCCAGCTGTCTTTTCTAGACTATTTTAGCTGTTTGTTTGATCCATATAGATGAATTTCGAAAAATTAAGTGAAACAAATGAGTAGAAACAATAAAAACGAACTATGTTCATTTCTTTCAAAAATGAAATGAAGGACGTTTGATTGCTTCATCTTCCACTAGCTGTTAGATGTTTGAATAAAAGCAACTTCTTTTCACTATTTCACTGAGTTTTACTGTCAATCTGCAACCATAGACGCTCTTCTCTCACTTGTTCATCATCTATCATTGAGAAAATTGTCACCATTGTAAAGTTTCTCCCTGTGTTAGTTACTTTGTCATCTAACAATAGATTTGAAATGAACAAATGATTGGCTAGACTCAAACATTAGCTTCCTGCATTCAATATGTAGACGTGAAGACATGTTCTCTATAATTTTCGAAACTCATCTATATGAATCAAACAAACAGCTAGAATAGCCTAGAAAAAACAGCTGAAAGAAGGTTAATCCTTGAATTTCACGAAAAAATTTAATCATTCTTTTTCTTTCTTCTTTAAAGCTTTAATCTCACCGTAAAGTGAATGTCAATGCTTCTTTCATGACTGTCTGACAGTTATCTAATTATTCCTTAGTTGAATCAAGGGATAATTATATTCATTTTTGACACAAAATCGGATTTAGTCTAAGTATAAAAAATTTCACTGATTTCACAAAATGCCTTGAATATATGCTTGTATTTAGCACAAAAAAGGATTTGAAATTGATCGTTTTATTGTCTTGGGTTCATTCGACGGTCGTTTTGATTAAGCAGTGAACAATATTCATACACTCTATCTTAAAAAAAATTTGGAGATATATATTGAGTTCGAATCAAAATCGAAGTTTAAGCCAAAATTTGTGAAGAGTCGCAAACAAAAAGCTTCACCATCATCATCACCATCTTCTGATAATTCCTTTAGTGTTGACGATACAGGAAGTTCAGATAAAAGTGCAGCTTCAAAGCCAGAAGAGAAAGAGAAAGATCGAAAAATGAAGGCGCCTACTAGAAAACAAATTTCTGCTTCTGATGATAGTGATAATAATCCTAATTTTAGTGGCAAAGAGATAACATCAGAATCTCGAAAGAAAAAAAAATCTTCGAGTTCTTCGTCCGATTAACTGTGACTGAGCAAGCAGCAACTTTACCGGTTACCGTGAATGACTCAATTAGTCGCTTTAGTGGTAAAGCGAATGAATAACCGAATAAGTTTTTGCATGAATATCAACAAACGATGCGGACTCTTTTTCGTGCTCCAGATGCAATTACTTCGAAATATCTGTAACTGGTTGACAGGTCTAGCTCGTGACTGGTATCTACAGCTTTTACAATCACATCAGTTACCGGACACTTGGCCTGAGTTCAAAAAGTTGTTCTTGTCTCGTTTTCGTAGTCCTGAACGTATCGAAGCTTTGAAACTTGAACGAAGTCGATGTGTTCAGAGACAAAATGAAACGGCTGCAGATTTTTATCAAAGATATCTAGGATTAAATCTTGAAATTAGTCCTGGAATGCGAGAAAAACTGCTGAAGAAACATTTCCTCAGAAAATTGAGACCTGAACTTCTTCTTTGGATGAAAGGTGATCCAGATAGTATGTCTTTGGAAGAGGTACTTAAAAAGGCTGAAAAAGCCGAAATTCAGCTACTCTACCGTCGCAAGGGAGAAATTCAAAGAACAATGCCTGTAAGCTGTTTTTCTTCTAATGCTGATTGCGATCAAGACGATGAGAGTCCACGAGAATTAACTAGTTCAGTAACTCGTCAGCTAGCACGTCTGAAAACGCCAGAAAAGACTGTTATTGTTGCTAATCTTGAACAGTCCTCTCCACCATCAACTACTTTCTCAGAAGCAACAAATGAAAAAAATACTTCTTCGGATTATTCACCTAAAAATGAAAGAAATAATACTGACTTTCGGCAAAAACCCACAGCAACTTTTTACGGACGATATAATAATAATAATAATAGGAACCAAAATAGCAACAATAATCAGTCTCTTTTGCCATTTTCTCGAAATCAGTCAAGTTTTAATCGTGAAAATTCATCATCTGAGAATGGAAATAAAGAACCTCCGGGTCCTTGTCCAATTTGCCATAAAAATGGACATTGGAAACGAGATTGTCGTGTTCCTTGCGCTATTTGTAAGAAAACTGGACATAATGCAAATACCTGTTTTCAAAGACAAAGCAATAATCAGCGCAATTTGTCTGCTGGACTCAG